GGCTCGGGCGGCTCGGGCGGCTCGGGCGTCTCGCGCAGCTCGGGTGGCGTAGGGGCTCACGGGCGGCGCGGGCTGCTGGGGCTGCTCACGTGCAGCACGGCGGGCTGCAGCAGGGCCGGTGGTGGGCTGTAGCAGGGCCGGTGGCGGGCTGTAGCAGGGCCGGCGGCGGGCTGTAGCAGGGCCGGCGGCGGGCTGTAGCAGGGGCCGGTGGCGGCTGTAGCAGGGCCGGTGGTGGGCTGTAGCAGGGCCGGTGGCGGGCTGTAGCAGGGGCCGGTGGCGGCTGTAGCAGGGCCGGTGGCGGGCTGTAGCAGGGCCGGCGGCGGGCTGTAGTAGGGGCCGGTGGCGGCTATAGCAGGGCCGGTGGCGGGCTGTAGCAGGGGCCGGTGCGGGCTGTAGTGGGGCCGACGAGGGGCCGAAGTGGGGCCTAGGCGGGCCGGCGGGCTGTAGGCGGGGCCGACGCGGCGGGCTGTAGCAGGGGCCGGTGGCGGGCCTAAGCGGGGCCAGCGCGGGGCCGACAGGGCGTAGGTGGGGCCGGCGCGGGGCCGAAGAGGGGCCTAAGCGGGGCCGACGGAGCCTACGCGGGGCCGACACGGGGCCGAGACGGGGCCTGGGCGGGGCCTACGCGGGGCCGACGAGGGGTACGCGGGGTCGACGAGGGGTACGCGGGGCCTACGCGGGGCCGACGAGGGGTACGCGGGGCCTACGCGGGGCCTACGTGGGGCCGACGAGGGGTACGCGGGGCCTACGCGGGGCCGACGAGGGGTACGCGGGGCCGACGAGGGGTACGCGGGGCCGACGAGGGGTACGTGGGGCCTACGCGGGGCCGACGAGGGGTACGCGGGGCCGACGAGGGGCCTAAGCAGGGGCCGACGAGGGGCCTAAGCGGGGCCGACGAGGGGCCTAAGCGGGGCCGACGAGGGGCCTAAGCGGGAGCACGACGGGAGGGGCGACTCGGAGGGTCGCTAAAAAAAATGCGCGCCTCGGGGCGCGCTTCGGTGGGCCCTAGGAACAGGCCCTAGGAAGGGACCTGCTCTGATTCCATGAGAAAGTACGAACGAGAAGTGAAATGACTATGAACGAAGTGAGTACAAATAGGAAACCATAATTGGGTTGTACCCCCTATGGGATACCCCACTATAGCCTACAGAAACAAGTAAGCTATAAGTTCTGACACAATGTTCACGAATATTTCCTCGGAAATCGAGCTTCCCAACTTCACGATTTGATCGCGAAGGCTCCGAAAGCGGTTGATGTAGCTGTTGACCTTCTCCCTTGAGGTAATCTTAGTTTCCAGCAGTTGCTGGAGTAGTCGGCTCGAGGAGACGGAGTCCTTGGGCTGATACACGCCGTTCAGGTGGCGCCAAGCGTCGAGGGCTGGGGCAGTCGATGTCTTGTATGAACGAATGTTCAGCTGCTCCGCCGGCGACATGTTACGCAGAAGAATCCCGTACGCCATCAGGGACTCGTTATAATAGCGTGCGTCATCGGTGTCCTCAGCAGGTCCCGAGTAGCTCCCGTCGAAATAATGATAAATTTGCGCGTTTTGCAGCAGCAGCTCCAGCTCGAAGCTCCAGGTGTAAAAGTCTCTGCTGTCAAAGCACACACTTGTCTTTATTTTTTATATGCTCAAAAACCTTGATTGCGCGGAGAGAATTGCTTCATCGCTGGGACAGGGAGTCTTGGGGGTTGAGCCGTTCGTATCTAGGGAGAAGCCTTGCAGGGCGGAGTTTTGGCCGTTTTTGGCCGGTTGAGTGGGTTGGGAAGAAGTTCCCGCATCGCCATTCCGCAATGTCTGGAGCCCTTGCTCCATGCTCGTGAGTCGCTGAAGCAGTTGTGCGAGGACGACGGAAGGAATCGTCGTCGTTTCCTCGTTTGTCGCAGCCGGGTTGGGCTGCGCTTCAGCCGTCAGATTCGTCTGACCTCCAGATCCTCCGGCCATTCTTATACGTGATCGTGTGCCGGACGCCACTTTCCGAATGTCGCAGATTTCGGAGATGGCGATGCGAAGGATTCCTGAGTCGCTCTCATACCATGCTGCGATCAGAAGTTGATCGTGGCCTAGGATCTACTCAGGAAGGTTCGCACGCAGAGAAGTGATGTTGGTGGGCCCTTGACCTCAATAGCATAGTGAATGTAAATGCTTGAGATGGTTAAGACATGCAGATACAACGATATAAATAAGAGTACAGGGGAATATGAATCGACCTAGCTAGCCATGTACTCTAAGGGGTACATTCCCTTATTCAAATACATTCCCAACTGTGCGGCGCGAACAGTTACGAAACTGTTCCCGCCAAAACCATCCTGCCTGCAGCTGCCTGATGCTGTCTGCTCCGACGGTTCAGATGCGTCCCAACTGTCTGACGCTTCGGGTCGTTTCCAACCGTCTGACGCTTCGCGTTCATTCGCGATACTGCGTGCTTCTCTTTTCTGCGGTGAGGAGTGCACAGTAACATTCAAGTATTACTATTCATAACAAACCCTAGTATCTAACTACGTTCTTATCTCAACACGCGCTTCACCTCGCGCCTTGCGTAGCTCGGCGTTTTCCACCCTCAAGCTATCCACCTCGTCAGACATGCTTGACAAGTTGGCTTGCACCGCCTAAATGTCATGCATGAATGCGTCAAATTCAGCCTGCTTCATATTTCTTAGGCTCATCCTAACCGGCAGGGGGTTTACAACGATTTTTATGACCTTGATGAAGGCGCAAACGCTAGCTTAGTCGGAGCGAAATAATTGTATCTATTTTTCAGCCGACCGCTTAGCAGCCCACCAGGTCTATTGCACCCCTCCACTAAATTACCCCAGAAATGCGAGGGTAACCTAGGAAACTAGCTCTGATACCAAGTGTTATGAGTTGTAAGAAGAAGAGTGCGCAGAATACAAAATCGTGGAAGTGATTACAACAAGTGCTAGAATAATGAGATCTAGCACAGATATAGCGAAGGCTAGCTAGGTCGAGGTCGCGGGACCGCGCAAGGTTAGGTGCTGATTTGGAGTTGGAAAGCTCGAACACCTCAGCGGAATTCGGTCGACGGAGCCGAATTGCCAGTGTCGTCGAGGGGGGTCGTCGAAGCCTGGGCTGACGGGGCGGAGCACTGACGCGCGTGCGGGCCCGCCAGCCTGGCCCAGGGCTGGGCCGAGCGCACGACCGCCGCCCCGCGGCCCCGCCCCGAATGTGAACAGCGGCCCACGTTACCGGGTGGGGTCGGCGAACTGGCGACACCTCGCGCGTGGGAAAATTACCCTCGCGCGAAGGCAGCCCACACGCGCCACCTGCCCGCGAGGTCCTAGTAACCCATCGCGGCCTGCCCGGACGGGCAGGCGAGGGCCGGGCGAAAAGTCGGGGCCCCCTCGGGACGCTCGACAATTTCGCGACCCGTTGCGGCGACGCCACGTGTTCGCTCGTGGTTTCGCATCGGGCGCATGCAATATTTTGTCGTTGCGGGCGAAAAAAAAAAAGGCCGCGACGCGGACAACGAGGTTCGTTACCCACTACGAAGTCGACACGTGTTGTGCGAATGCACGCTCATCGCGCACGCGATATTGCGTCCCCTCGCCGACCTGGGACAATGGACGCGAGGTCGACGCCCTGCCGAAGCGGAGTCGGACCACCTGTTCCACTTGCGCATGCGCCCTCAGAGCCCTGCCGAGCCAGGCCCCACACCCTTGGGCGACGCTGAACGGGGATGCGGTGGGCCACCGTCTCCTTTTCTTTGTGGATGGTGGCCTCGCTCCCCATTTTCCGCATCTCGTTTCGCTCCTCCTTTTCCTTTTTTCCTCCTTTCGTTGCTCTGTGCGGCTATCGTGATATCGCTTCCCCTTAGTCGGTATGGACCCTAGTCCTGACCCCGATAACTCGGCGCCGACTTCGGCTGACTTCCCTCTTCGTCACCAAATGGGTCCTGGTCTCAGCTTCACTTTAGAGTGGGAAGACTTCTTAGTTCTTCGCAACCACAAGATAGAGTTCAACGACGGATGTTTGGATTTCGGCATCAGGTACGACTCGAGTAGTCGGCGCCGACTTAACTGGGTTGGGTGGAGTGGGAAGACTTCTTAGTTCTTCGCAACCACAAGATAGAGTTCAACGACTGATGTTTGGATTTCGGCATCAGGTACGACTCGAGTAGTAGGCGCCGACTTAACTAGGTTGGGTGTCGACGCAGTGGCCTTCTGATTTACGTCGACGTGCGCGGTATTAGGCATAGACCCCCTCCAGGAACGCCGGCCACCTTAGGAATCGTCGACCACACATAGTCGCCCTCTGTACTTTTCAGCGTTTGCTCAACCGCCCTTGTATGAACCTCCTTGCCCAATCGTGCCGTCAGGTTCGCGTGGTCCCGACTTGGGATCGAGAACCAGCGTTTGTGGGTTCTCGACGTCGGCACGCTTCGATCGGCCATGCGGCTGGCCGACCATTCATGCTTTGCTGCGGTTTTCGACGCCGACATCGCCGCTATCCCGTTAAGAACGATGTGAGCTGTTTCACCTTTGATCAGTTGTCGTTGTTTAGTGTCGCGACATCGCGTGGTGATGTGATCGACGTCGTCGTAAATTGCATGTGCAGCCTCGGTGCGCTTCCAGGAACGCACTGCAGCGTCATTGCCATCCTATACCCTGGAGATCTGTTGAAGGCTGAGGGACAGGTGTGCAGGACCTCAATCCGGCACATCGACCCGCAGACCGGTAAAGGGTATCACCGCGACGAGGCCGCCCGCGTGCTAAAGTAAGTGCTGAATTGTCGTCGATGACCCGCTTGTTAGTCGGCGACACAGGGCATCACACGCTGACCGCCTCCCCCCACCGCGGTGCTTCAGGTTCTTCCGCACGGCTGTCCTGGCCGAGCTGGGGCGTCCCGGTAGGATGTGGGACTGGGCGCCGCCATCACAAGCAGTGGTGGAGGTCAGGCTGGCCGACTGCGACCACCCTATCCGCGATGTGAGTTGCACGTTCAAGTCGCAAGGGGGGGATGCCCGTTTCTGAACGCTCCGCTCATCATGTTCCGTGCTTGTATGCAGAAAGTGCCGGGCACATTGTCGGACGGGCATGTCGGTGCCAGCGTGCTTTCCGCGACGTCGTTCGGGTGGGTAGCAAAACAGATCGACCATCTGACAGGCGAGAAGGGTCGTCGTGGGGTGAGCATCGAGAGCATCGGGATGAAGGGGCTGAAGGCTTTGCGCGACAGCATGGTTGAGTACGTCGGCAAGGTCATTGCCGTAAAACGCACCGCGACGCCGACTTCTCAAGCCGCCGGACCCGCCGACAATGCCATAGATGACGACGTCGCGGAAGGACAGAAGGCGCCCCAAGGTGCAGTTGCCGCCCAGCATCATGGGAACGCGAGGGTGCATGGGGAAGGTGGAAACGGTGGAGGAGGCGACGCAGAGGCAGGTGCAGGAAGGTCGGAAACGGAGAAGTCGTCGTCGTCGTCGTCGGAGTCGGAGTCGGAGTCGGAGGAGGAAGACGAGGCAGTGAAGCGTAAGGACGAGGAGGAGTATGAGGAGGAGGAGGAGGAGAATAAGGACGAGAATGGTGAGAAGTGGGAGGGAGGGAAGGATGAGGAGGGGGGGGATGAAGAGGTGGAGTTCGTGGTGGAGTATGTAGAGGGTACGGTTGAGGCGGGAGCGGCGGAAGAGGCGGTGGGGTCGGCAGATCAGGGGAATGAGGAAGAGAAGGATGACGGCGCGGGAAATGCTACGAGGTCGGCAGATGTGGGGAAGGAGAAGGGCGAGGTCGGCGTGGAGGCACCTGGAAATGGCCAGGATGAGGCGACCTGCGAAGGAGGTGGGAAGGTGTCGGTCGACGCCGGCGAAGGGGCGAACAACACGGGCGAGCAGGAGGCCGGGGAAGCACCTGGTCGGCAGGGCCCAGAACTGGACGACTTCGAGGTTCTGCGACGGGAGAACTGGTTGTTGCGGGCGGAGAACGCTCGGCTGGCGTCGTTGCTCGATGCGGAGCGGTCCCGGCTGGACAGTTTTTTTGTTGGGGTCAGTCGACTCGTCGACCACGTTAAAGGGTTGGCCGAGCAGGTCGACGACACCGACAAGTATGCCGCGGAACAGCTGCGAAACGCGACGGAGGCCATGTCGAAGACCATCACGGGCAACATCTCCGGCAGCTTTGACGAAGCGTGGAAGTCGATGAAGACTTTCGCGGAACATGCGACGGAGTGGTTGGAGGACTTCGACAATCCGGAGGGTCGTGTCGCGTATGCACGAGCGTTAGCGGTCTCCTCCTTGGCCGAACACGTGGATTCGGTGGTGGGCGATGCGAAGAAGAGGTTGGAAGAGTACATCTCGAACCACCTTGCCTCCGCGCAGGTCAGCATCGCCACCGCTTTGACCGCCAGGCTCGCCGTGCCGCCGCCGCCACCGCCTCATCCCACGCCGCCCGCCATCCCAGAAGAGATTTTGAAGTCGTTCAAGGCCGACATCCTGAAGGCGGTGACGGAGGCCACCCAGCAGTCTTTCGTTGCTTCCGGGATGAAGATCATGACAGAGATGATCGGCACTGTGGCGCCTGGTCGACGTTGGTCGTCGCCTTCGGCCAATGACGCCGATAACGCGCAAACAAAAACGGCCGAGAAGCAGGGCCATAAGAGGACCGGCGACCGAGACGACAAGGGGAGCTCGAAGCGGAGCAAGGGAGCGGACGGTAGTTTCGGGTCGAAGCCTGCGCAAAAAAGTGTGGTCGACCAGCTGAAGACGAAGGCGGGGTGGAAGGTGGTAAGGACGTCGCACAGCAAGGGAGGCGGAAGCGGGGGAGCAGAGGGTGGCCCTGCCGACGGGGTTGCCGCTAACCTAGCTGCTCCGACTGGCCCGCCTTTGGTCGCCGAGCAGACCCATCCTCAGGCGAGCGGTGGGAAAGGCGTTATCGACAAGGAGGTGCCAACTGCTCAGGCGGCGAATGTTGGTGACTCCGGAACCACCAAGGGACCACCCGTCGCGGCGGCGGCCAAGCCTGCTTCTGCTACGGTAGCCGGCACCACCAAGTCGAGTCCCCGTAACCCCCTTGCGGCTACCAGCGCGCCTGCCGGCCAGTCAGGTGCGATCAAAGATGGCGAGGCTGCTCCAGCTCCAGCAGCCCCGACTGCCGCCAAGGTTGTCGCGAAGGTTGCTTCGGCTAAGGGTGATGCCATGGCATCAGCTAAGGCCCCCCCCGGTGGTACCGCGCTCAGAGAGATGCTCCGCCGCATGGAGGCACATAGCAGGGACGTGCAGCAGCATCCCGTGGTCGACGCCGGCCTTCCTGGAACAGCACGCCGCTCCGTCACTACGTAGGTTGCCGGCAAGTCGTCCGGTGCCCCACCTGCCGCGCCTCCGGTGGCCGCCCCACCGCCTGCGGACCCCAAGTCCGATTTTCTTCGCGCCCATTTAGGCGCACGCAAAGCAACTGCTCCGTCAGTGACCCTGCCGGAACTCGGCAAAAGCGCGACGCCGATGTCGGTAAACGCGACCGCACCCACACCAGGTGTATCTGTGGTCGATGTGGCGGCGGAGAAGGGAGTGAGTGCAGCGCTCGCCACCGGCGGCCGCGCAGACAAGCATGCCGACCTCGCTGTCGTCATGGCCCATTTTGAGGCAGCAAAGCGCCCCGAGCACGCCCCTGTTATGGCCATCATGGACACGGCGCATGTGGTGCCGTCGGCGACCCACGGAGGGGGTTCGACGGAGCAGACGGCCGCAACGGCTGCTGTCGCCGAGATAAATGCTGGACGGAAGGAAAAGGACGACAACGGGAAAGGGAAGGCGGTCTCTCAGAGGAGCACGCGGGCGATGACTGCGGGGAAGTTGACGTCGGAAGAGAAAGGAAAGAAGGCGGAAGGGGAGAAGGACAAGACGGGCGGCAAGGGTAAGCCGGCGAAGAAGAAGGAGAAGGCGGAGGAGGAGGACGAGGAGGGCGGCGAGGGAGATAAAGAGCATGGACGCAGGGGTCATGGCATCCGCCGAGACAAGGCTGGCGACGGGCAAGGGTGGGTGGGCGAAATTAAGGTACACGGACAGAATCGGTACATCGGCAAGTCGAGGGAGAAGATGGAGCTGGCCTACGAGCACGCGATTGCGTTCGTCGTCTACGACGGCTACGTGAGCAAGGTGCTCATGAAGGAGCTCATGTTGAGATAGAGGCGAGGAATGTGTGCACTATGAAAAGAAACAAGTACAAGTACCAACCCTAATTGGGTTGTACCCCCTATGGGCTACCCCACTACAGCCCAAATATATGCATCAGTAATATAATCATCTGACACACCCCCATAGGCAAAGTGGGGGAGAGCAAAGGGTCACAAGACCAGTCAAGCAAAGCAAAGCAAAGCAAAGCAAGCTCAGGGTGGATCTCAAGGATACCACACAAATTCCGAGCACAAGGTCAAGGCCACAAGGCCAGTTCACATGCAGCAGAGCATATATATATAACAGTGCTAAACAAGCAAGAGCAAGGATATATATATGCAGCAGTACAAGCAAGGTCAAGGGGTAAGCAAGTGAGGCCCAGTGGGCACAAGGCCTAGCAGAGTGCAAAAGCGCTGATGGTCACGAGGCGGAAGTGCCTTGGTGAACACATCAGCAGTGTTGGCCTCAGTGGCCACGAAACGCAGGCGAAGCTGACCACGCTGCTGCAGCTCTCGAGCAAGGAAGTAGCGCAGAGCAATGTGCTTCGTCCTGTGCTCCAGTCTGTGCTCCTCACACAAGGCAATGGTTGCCTTGTTGTCGACGTACAGCACTGGAGGAGAACGAGGCCGCTCTCCAAGGTCAGTCAGCAGGTAGGTGAGCCAGCGAAGCTCCTGGGCAGCCATGGCCGTGGCGTAGATCTCAGCCTCACAGCTGGAGCTGAGAACCGAAGAAGAGCGAGTAGAGCGCCAAGAGACAGAGCCAGAGCCAAGACTGAAGGTGTAACCCTGAGACGACCTCTGAGTAGCCTGGTCGTCAGCCCAAGAAGCGTCTGAGTGCCCAGTGAGCACAGGCCGCTCACGCCCTCCAAGCACTAGCCCCATGCCCGACGTACTGCACAAGTAGCGCAACACCCTCTTAGCTGCATCCATGTGCTCCTTCCGGTAACGGCCGGGAGCAACATAGCGTGCTAAGATGCTGAGAGGGTATGCGAGGTCAGGTCGAGTGCAAGTCATCAGGTACATGAGGCAGCCCACAAGCTCTGGATACGGACCACTCGACTCTACGGACTCATCCGAAGGCAGAGCTGAGAGCGAGTGTCCCGTAGGCAGAGGAGTGGACTGAGGCGAGGAGTACGTGAAGCCGAAGCGCTGAAGGACCTGCTGCACCATGTGTGACTGAGTCAGGGTAATGGTGCGGCGTGCTCTGTCCCGGGTGATCCGCAAGCCAAGATAGCTTGTCAGTTCACCCAGGTCTGTGCACGTGTGTCTCTTCTGCAGCTCGGACTTCACGTGGGCGAGTGCGGCAGTGTCCGCAGTGGCAAAGACCAAGTCGTCGACGTACACGAGGATGTAGAACGGCGGCAGCGAGGTGTCGGTGCGCAGAAACAGCGACGGGTCAGCAGTAGAAGGAGCAAACCCAAGAGCCGCAAGCGTAGTTCTCAGTGTGTCGTGCCACTCACGCGGCACCTGGCGGAGACCGTAGACTGGCCGCCGGAGGCTCCACTGGGTACCAGGAGGGAACGACCCAGTGAAGCCAGGAGGGCGGCGCAGCCAGATCTCCTCGTGCAGGCGGCCCTGCAGGAAAGCAGTGCTGAAGTCAAGAGAGTGTAGCTCGTAGTCACGCTGAGCAGCGACGTGCAGTAGAACCCGAAGAGTGGTTATCTTCGGGGTCGGGGAGAAGGTCTGAAAGAAGTCAACTCCCTGTCGCTGACTGAAGCCACGAGCCACGTAGCGCGCCTTGAAGACAGGCGGAGAACCCGGCGGCCGCTTCACCCTGAAGATCCACATGCCATTGACAATGTTCGCCCCAGGAGGGGGAACAGCGTCAACGTAGGTGCCTGTGGACTTCCAGGAAGCCATCTCTGCGTCCATGGCTGACTGCCACTGAGAGGAGTAGGGACCGGCCATCGCCTCTGCGTAAGAGCGTGGGGTCGGGATGTCTAGAGCATCCGGGTCTCCCTCAGGGGCAACAAGCATGGACACGAGATGGGGCAAAGCGGCGGCAAAGCACTGGAACTCCTCCTGCCTGTCCTCAAGGACGTCCGTGCCAAGAGCACAGTCACCCCCGACGGACGGAGGACAGGCAGACGCAGACGCAGCAGACGCAGACTCAGCAGACTCAGCAGACTCAGCAACAAGACTGGCAGCGTAGTCCAGACGACACGCAGCAGCAAAGTCGACCAGCTCAGCAACTAGGGCAGACGCAGCAGCGGACTCAAAGGAAGGGTCAGTGACAAGAGTAGCAAGAAGACGCGTGACAGTAGGACTGGCAGCACGGTGAGAGTCCGACTCCGGGTCGGCAAGAGTAGGAAGAGAAGACTGAGGAGGAGAAGGCAAAGGGGCACGCAGAGGAGCAGTGGACGGACGCAGATACATCTGGTGCGTGCCAGGGACAGGAGGAGGACGCTGACGCGAAGCGCGACCACTAGTGCGAGCAGCTCGGACTGGCGACACAGGGCGGGACGCAAGCTCATGACGCTCAGCAAGACCTCCAGTAGGACCAGCGTAGGGAGAAGGAGAAGGCAGAGGAGAGGCGGGCTGTAACTGTGACCGTGACGGGACAGGCTGCGGACACTCTACGGGAGGAGAAGGACCAGTGGAAGGCGGGAGACCAAGAGCCTGCTGAAGGAGCGGAACGAAGTACGGCCGAGGCCGCGCAGCACCGCCAGAGACAGCAGGGACAGCACCAACACCTCCAGAGGCAGCACCAGCACCAGTAGCAGCTCCAACTCCAGCACCACCAGCAGCTGCAGAAGTACCCGCAGTAGGACCGATAGTCGTAGCCTCAGCGCCAGCACTCGCAGCAGCTCCAGCTCCAGAGGCACCCCCGGGCCCGGCAGCTCCAGTACCCTCAGTACGAGCACCTCCGGGACCCGTGGTACCAGCTCCCTCGGCAGCAACGGAACCTCCAGCACCCGCAGTACCCCCGGCTCCAGCAGCTCGCCTCCAGCGCCGGGCAAACCACTCACGCAGCTCCAGAGGAGAGAGCGGCTCGCGGCGCGAAGAACGGTCTGGAGAACCACCAGGAACAGAAGCAGCAGGCGCAGCACTCCCAGACGCAGAACCCCCAGGCTCAGCACCCCCAGGCACAGCACCCCCAGGCTCAGCACCAACAGGCTCAGCACCCCCAGTCACAGCACCCCCAGGCTCAGTACCCCCAGGCTCAGCACCCCTAGGCTCAGCACCCCCAGTCGCAGCACCCCCAGGCTCAGTACCCCCAGGCTCAGCTCCCCCAGTCTCAGCACCCCCAGTCTCAGCACCCCCAGGCTCAGCACCCCCAGTCTCCGCACCCCCAGTCTCAGCACCCCGAGGCTCCGCACCCGCAGCAGCACCAGAGTCACTAGTGACCTCGACAGGCTCGACCGCGTCTACCTGAGACACACCTGAAGGGGCAGGACCCTGAGGGGGGAGGGGGTCTACCGGGGGGGGACCTGGGACCAGGAAGAGGGGCGGGGGGGGGAGGGACGGAGTGCGGTAGGGGAAGAGCCGGTAGAAGGGAACCGACTCGTCGAACGTGACGTCCTAGGAGGACAGAACACGACGAGAGGTGGGGTGGTAAAACTGCCACCCAGGTGCGTCAGGGGGGAAACCCAGGAAGACGCAAGGAGCAGCACGAGGGGACAGCTTGTCCGCAGACAAGTCGCGGACAAACGCCCGAGATCCCCAGACACGGAACGCCGACGCATCGCCAACCTTCCCCGTCCACAGCAAAGCTGGGGAGGTCTCCGGTCTGGAGACCCTGGACTGAAGGTTGATCTGATGCGCGGCGTACCGAACCGCAAACGGCCACAGAAAATGGGGGGCAGCCGCATGCACCATGGACGTACGGGCGACGTCCATGACAATGCCGATGCGGCGCTCAGCAATCCCATTCTGCTGTGAGATTCCGGAAGCGTGAAGGTCTGGCGGATGCCTCGTGCGTGACAGTAGGCTCGCAGAAGGCCGGAGGAGAACTCTCCGCCTCTGTCCGAGTGCAGACGCAAAACAGGAAAGTCCGAGCCGAAGCTCCGCCTGAGCTGGAGACGAGCTGCGCGGATCCAGTCGATCAACACCTCAGTGACCTCACCCTTGCTGCGCAAGGGGAAGACTGTGGTGTAACGCGAGTAGTCGTCAACCACCAGCAGGAAGTAGCGCTCGTGACCCTGTCCACGGACGCGGGCTGGGCCCCACACGTCCATGTGAAGCGTCTGCATCGGGGCCTTCGTCGGAGGAAACGGGGAGGAGTGAGGGGTAGCCCGTAGTCGACCCTCGACACAGGGGACACAGGGAGGGCCAGGCCCTGGAGGAAGGGGAGGGAGGGACCGGGGAAGGCCAGAGACAAGAAGGCGAGAGGCCATGCCCCGGAGACGAGGCAGGGAGGGATGACCCATCCTGTGGTGCCACAGGAGGGTCTCGTGGGACTGGAGGCGACACGAGCAGGGGGCAGACTCAGGACCAGACCTGGACGCTGCAGCAAACACCTAACCCGACGCAGCTACCTGACCAGACGCAGGAGGAGGAGACGGAACAGTGAGTGTGTACAGGCTCGACCCCGGCCCACGTGTGAACGTGGTCAAGTGTCGACCCGTGTCCGCGTCCGTGCAGTGGGTGTCCCGTCGGCGTGCAGGGGTGAACTGGTTGACCCCTGCATCCTGTAGGTCAGCACCCGCCACCAAGTTCGTAGAGAACGAGGGGAGGTAGAGACCGGACAGGGCGCCAGACGGGACCGCAGGGCACGGTAGGACAGTGGAGTAGCGAGCCAGAACAGGACCCCCAGAGGGGTCCGCCAGGGAGACCGCCACTGGCCGACTAAGCGGCGTGAGTGTGGTGCGGTCTCGAAAGAAGGAGCGAGACGCCCCTGAGTCAAGAGTGAAGGTGAGAGAGGGCGGAGCCGACGCAGTACCTGAGAGAGCAGACTCAACAGCACCTGAGGACACAGACTCACTGGCACCTAGAGCGACAGCCTCACCAGCACCTGGAGCAGCAGCCTCAACAGCACCTAGAGCCGCAGTACCAATGCCCGGGTCGGGCGGG